GGGAACATGGCTGGGGAGAGAGGAGCGCTACCGGCCCTGGGCTCCCGCCGGGCGCCGGCTGACTGCGTCACTCCGGGGCGGGGCGGGGCGCAGCCCCTGCCGGGGAGCGGCGGAGACCCCGCAGCCGCCCGGCCGCCTTCCCGCCTTTCCTTGATTCAACCCAGCAGCGGGAAGCGTCCCGTTTTTACCTCAGGTGCAGCAGCGCTCCCGCCGCGCCGCAGAAGAGGATTTTTCCTCTCCGGAGCGGGGGGAGCCGAAGGAGACTGCTCCGGGCCCGCTGGCACGTCGCGACCTGCGGAGGGTGGCTGCTTTACCGTGCCCTCCCGCCCGGCCCAGGAGCCTGAGCGGCCGCTTTCCTCACTCTGAGGCTTAGGCTGCCAGCTGTGGCGGGTGGTCTGGCAAAAACAGGGGTCCCCTCGCTGGGATCTTTCTCAGGAAGGGTGGGTGCGCTCGGTCCTTCAGGACGCTGCCGGTGGGATTCGCAAGGCTGGATTTGGGAACCGTTTTTCGCTGGCTTCGTGCAGTTCTGGCGCTAACCGACTTGGGCAGAGAAAGGCGACAGCATACGCTCAAAAAACTGCCATCAGAAGACCATTGCGAACCGCTGTTTGGGACTTAGGAAGGACACGTATTCCAGTAATAGAATTAGAATAGAATAGAATTTAAAGTTGCCTAATCTTTAAAATAGCCTGTGCTGTAACCTGTGCTTGTCCCCAAATTCCTAATAAAAAACAAAACAAAAAAACCCAAAGACAACACGTTCCATGCAAATCTGGGTATGTTTCACATCTATGGTAAATGACAATCATGCGCTACAACTATCTGATGGTATAGAATTAGATTTTAGTCTTAAAGGGGAGCTAAATGTTCCCATTGAAAGAAAATACTCAACTGCACTGGTTTGTATGAAAAAAAGAGTTTCCAGAACGTACATATGTACCATCTCTCTGGGAAGAAGTTGAGTTATATGTACATTATCAGCGGAGCTAACTAGTTAAGATAAAATTAGCTAAAAATAGAATATTCAAAAACTGCCCATCATTTGCCAAAACCACGTTCTTTCATTAAAATAGTTATGACAGTTATGCTTTCTATATGGATTGTGGTCCCACAGGACTGAACCTGAAATGCAGAGGAGAGAAACTTGAGATACTTCATCTGGCAGTACTGAAGTATGAGGCAACTGTCTGAATGTTTCAATGCTTTGAATTTTAACTTCACTTCATCTCCCTTTTGCTTTGATTTTATGGGAAAGGCCAGATACAAACGTTTAGTGGAACATCACTATACTATTACATTAATGTAATGTAATTACATCTATACAGCCTTCTCTATTTTACTCCATGCAGTGATGCTAAACCATCATGTTACTGTTGTTTCATCAAGAAAAACAAACCACCCAAACCAGAAAATGCATGCACAAAACACGCAAATGGGGAAAAAACTGAGTAAAATTCAAGTTGCTGTCCACATTGCCCAACATCCATGAACGGTGACATTCAAATTATTTTAAAAACTGAAAGCTCCCCTTCACATCTCGTTTCTAAAATATTTAAGATGATGCAGTGTGAGGCACTAGTTTTTTGCTGATTGGATCCTGCACACACTTAGTTACGCTTCCTGAGGGAATTACCTGGCTTCCTTTTGCTGTCCCAGTCCTGTGTTAAGAGCTCCATCTTCAGGAGAGAGGATACAACTCAACCTTTAAATCTCATTTTTGACGGAGAAAGCTGGCTTATGCTAACTATATCGGTTAAAGACTTAACCAGTTCTTGAACTGGGACTCATGTGGTACTTGTTTTTCACATGAAAAGGTGACTGTCCAGCAAGCAATTTCGACAATACTGACCTAGTGGCAACTTGAACTAAGAGAATGGAAATAGTGGACTTACATTAAAGCCACAACTTCAAAATATATGGGATTGATAATCTTTTTATACTTCTGGTTTTGATTTATTGATTGATGGATTGAAAAACAGTGTAGAATATCTTGCTTGGGTAGACTAGCCACAGATAACTGCCTACTTATTTAGAAAGAAAATTAGTTTGAAAGGATAGCAGCGATCAAACCCCATCATCTACAGAGCAAAACAAAATTGCCATGTATTGGTTAACTGATTGTGCCTTATTGGGACTATGCAGATGTTTAAACAAAGATGTGTATAAAAGATATCATACCATATGTAATGTCTTGCTCATCAGAATACAGAATTCCCTAAGAGGTCAGAGTATTAATCCACTGGATCACTGCATCATGAATTTAAGACCTCTTACACAACTGGAAATACTTGTCCCCATTCAAGACAGCTGAAAATGTTGAGCTGTGGAAATGTGAAGACAATTAATTGGAGAGACCACAAAGGCAGGATGTTGTCTTCTATTACTCCCCTAACTGGAGTCCACTCCCTTTTCAAAGATTAAAGTATTGACAGAGAAGAGGCTCTCTGTATCGGAAGATCAAAGCAAAAAGTTGCATTAACTACTTGAAAGCTGAGCTGAAAGAACTTTAGCTCTTTCAGAGATGCCGACCATTCACTGCATTGATGATGCTGTGACCGATACTTTATTTAAGCATTAAAATAAATAGTTTAATAAGTAGTTTAAGTAATAAAGTTATTCAAGACACTTTATTTTCAGTATGTTATTTCTCTCAGGAAAACATTCATGCTGTCAAGAATCAGAAAACTAATTAGGAACACAGTAAAGGGATTAAGCATACATTGAGAACTGACCTGTCATTTGGTCTCCAAATACTCAACCCTAACTAATACATTCAATTTAGCAAGGTAGTTTTGAAAGCCATTTGATACAGTATTTAAACCCCAGAAGTCATGACTGAGTAGCAGAAGTTAAGGAAGGAAATAGTTCTGGCCTCCAAGGCAAGAGAGGCAGTATTACTAAAAGACTTCAAAATGATGCCCATAGGTATCAAATAAAATATGGCAACTAGTGATAGAAACTGAAAAATGTTTATATTACATATTTGATATACATGTGTGCACGTAAAGTTAATTACATTTATTTTTGAATGTCTGGGAAATCATCTTTACTACTTTTCTACACAGAGAAGATATGTTTAGGCCAAAGTTGAACACTAGTGTGTGTGGCATAAAAGAGACATGGTGTTATATAAATGTGCTGCACCAGGGCTACGTGGACACTTTGAAACCTCTAACAATTCTGAATAAGGTCTGGCCTTTCCTTCAGGAAATGTTGGATAAGTTTAATTTGATTTAAATTGTATTTACCTGCAATCAAAAGAATTTCCGAGTACCTTTTGGCCTCTGGAATACACTAGGAGTAGCACAGCTGTGTTTTGAGCTGTTAATACCATCCCTCATGGAACTGAACCTCTTTGTACTGACAGTAGCTTAAACAAAACAAATAGCAGATATGCAGTATTACTAAAAACTGAAGAGGGCAATGATGGAAAATAAGAGTCAGTGACTCTGAGAAAGTTTGGCTTATACTTCTTTCTGATGCACAGTCAGATATTCTCACATTAAGTCTTTTCTACGTTGCATAGCCCATTTTTGTCCTATGGACCATGGTACACGAGGCTGCAGCATGAAATAGTGGTCCTTAGCAAAAGATGCCTATCAGGATTGTTAATGATATACCAACAGTTTCCACCTCAGACAGGAAGGTCTTCAACTCTTGTAACAAAAAGAATGCAGTAGTTTAATTTTACCTTCTCACACGTTTTTCCTCATTAATCTACTAGGGCACCTACAGTTAAAAAATGCAACCATACCCAGTGTTGACTAGCACTGCTGTGGAAGTATACAGCATGCCACATGCACACATCATATACATCACAAGTGCGTAAACCACAAATCTGTAGTTGTCCAGCAAAGCTTTCTACTTGCAGATTACTAAGAAACTCTGTTTTCTCACCTCGTTAAGGTCTGTGGTTTGTTCTAAGGAGTATTTGGAGTAGTTCTAACCTGAATAAAGTCTGTTATCCAAAGTACCTGTTATGACAGACATTCACCTTTCAGAGGACTAGAGATTTTCTGTAGCTTTTCACACTTTTCTGTAGACTGCAACCCTGCCAGAACAACTAATGAACAAAAGACATAAAACATTAATTCAGTTTGGCTGCAAGTAATTCCTGCAACCTGTGTAAACTCATGAATAAAGGGGCTCATTGCATCTCACATAAGGAGCAATTACATGAGTAAAGATTAAAGTTCAAGCCCCTCTAAATACATTGTAAAGAGAATAATTGGTAGTCAACACTGAAATTAAACACTGGGTCAGTGGTATTTTTGGCATATCTTTAGTACAATATCTGCTTCTAGTAAAACTATATCAGAAGATAAAATTACATCTGGATGTAATTTTCTTTTCATTCCCTAGCACAGGCATCTCTTTAGCATTTTCACTATGTTCCACAAAACGCCATTATTGGCACATTAAATAAACATTTTAAGCTTGCCCAGCACTAGGTATCTCACCTATTGCCAATAAAGTTTTCCAGCAACAAGTTTTCCTAGCATAGATGATTTTTAATGTGACCTGGAAAGTTTCTAGCTTTTTTAAATTACCTTGTGGGTTTTTGCATCTTCAGAAGTTTAGAGAGATTCTGTTGGAAAAGATTCTTTAATTAGAAACGTGAAGCCTACTCTTTACTGCCAAATGTACCCTCCTGCAGTTAATCAAATTAATGTAAAGCTCTTATTTTACTAGTTGTCCTTGAGAAGGTAGTTTCCTGGTTGTCCCTAACAAGGCAGTTAGGCCAAACTTGGGATTTCTGTGAATGAAATTTTAAGCAACAATAAAAAACTTACATAGGCCTTAAAAAAGGATAAAAACTTACATATGTAAGAGCGCATTCTTTTGAATGTCATCTTAGAAAGGAAGTGAACCTAAAGGACTGGGAAAATAGGGAAGGGAAGAAAATGCATGCAAATTTTAGATTTTCCTATGCTGACTTAGTGTACTAATACACTTCCTTTGTCCTTATGTAAAGTCAGTTAGGTTTTTTGTTTGGTTGGGTTTTTTTTGTTGTTTGTTTGTTTAAAGAACTTTCCTCCAGCTCATGCTTCCATACTTGCTAAAATGTGTTCTCATATGTAATTCTCTACACTAACTGTAGATGGTGATCATAATCAGCTTTCACATTTCAGAACAAATGGTAACTGAAAGGACAGTGCAGTGGAAGTCAGAACTTTCAGAGTATGTTAGTGTCACGCATTTTTGAATTCCAGCATTTTAAGACTACTGACAAGCACAGAAAGCAAAAGTTCCTTGAAAAGGGAAGAGACAATGATATGAAAATGATAAGATTGTCATTTAATTACCCTTAAAATACTGAACTTACTTGAGAATGCAGCACACCATCGTACAGTGCATTTCAGCAAACCAGATTCTAAATGGTCTCAATTAACATAACACAAAGGAGAAAAATCTATACACTGAAATTATCTCAATGTGATAGACATTTTAAAAAGTTGCAATAATTATTAAAAAGCTTTCAATAAAAAGTTTAAACACATTTAAGTTTCAAAAGAATATTTTGTACATTTTGGAAAAATATAACATTTACTTTACATAACTGAAACATAAGTTATATTCTTTGTAGTTTGTAAGCTTCTGTTATTCATACATTCTCATACATTTTCTTTTAATACATGCTTTTCTCTGGATTGTAAATCTAATGCAAAAGTATCATTATTCTGAAGAAAAGCTTGTTTCTGCATTAGTTTCCTGAAAAGTCCATTTGGATTTGCAAGTAGTTCCTCATGTTTTCCACATTCAAGAATTTTACCCTGGCCAAGGACTGCAACAAAATCAGCATTCTGAATAGTAGACAGACGATGAGCAATAATTAGGACTGTCCTCCCTTCCATCAGCCGGTCCAGAGCTTCTTGCACTAGATATTCATTTTCAGCATCCAAAGCACTAGTAAGAAATTGGAAGCAGGGAGGGGAGAGAGGGGATATTTGTTATTTTAAGACAGGTTAGTTTTGTATGCATTAGGCTTATTTTGCTAAAACTGCAAACCCTTGCTATCGTTGGTGAATATGAACCAATGGAACTGCAGGAAAGTTTCAAGAATATGCTTAGTGCACACATCCAAGTTATAGGCATTGCATATTCTCATATGCAAAAACATGCATGGAGAAATAACACAAAATTAATTCTGTGAAAAAAATTAAGTTATACTGCAGTATAATCATCTCTTTTACACTAAGATCTTCATTTAACTAAAGATAGAAAAAAGCTTTAAGTAGCTGTTTCAAAATCAATTTACATATAACAAATTTAACTCCATGAAAAATTACAACACAGTGTACCAGCTATCCTTTCCACTTTGCATAAACAGCTTTTATCACAGGTGTCCTAACCAATTCACGCTTTCTAGAAAGCACATTCTTTTTGTGGGTAGAGAAGAATAAGGGGCTAGATAATTTTTGCAAGGGCATGCAGAGAAAGAAAGAAGAGAGAACACCTCCCAAATCTGCGTTTTACAAATACATGATTTCTAAGTTTCTACTTCTTTTCTTTCTTACCTCGTTGCTTCATCTAACAGAAGAATTTTAGGATTCTGAAAAAGAAAGTAAAATTGGTTATAATAAAAATTAAACAAGATCTGAATATTTATATCAATAGAGAACTGGATTCATACAGCTTAAAATCCCAAGTAAGTGTACTTACTTCATCAAAAGAACTGAGTGTCGTTCAAAGCATTACTTTTAAGAAGTCTAAATGCTAAGAGGACAAAACAGAAACAACACTCTTCCACCTTCAAATTTTCCAAACTAAAGTAACAGAACACTATTACCTGATAACTATTTGAAAGATACAAACTAAAGGTGGGAGATGGTTTTTAATGCATACTTGGCAGCACTGTGGTCAAAAGTTCAATTTCCTATTTACTGCTCTTATGTGGATCTTTCACAGAGGCTCAGCTACCTTCCACTTGCAGTCTGCTATATATAACTGTCTAGTAACAAAAAATAACAAAAACCTACCAACAAACAGTATTTCACTGACAGATGAAATACGTAGTACTTAAGAACTAGCATTTAAGAAGTCTTCCCAATTAAATAAAAAAAAAAAGAAATAGCTAGTGCTCCAATCCCTAACATGCTGCTTCTGAATGAGAAGGGATGCCATTGAACCCCAATCACATATATATCAACTACTCGCTTATTTTTTAAAACTTTTTTTTTCCCCCCAAATAAAGTCTCTACTCCCATGAACTGTACTTGACATGAAATGCAATCAGCTTTTCAGCATTTGTGGGAAAAGAGAACTGGTATAATGAAAAATTCCCAGGAATCTAGGAGAACTGGGCATGCTAGGATGCTATAGAGACCCGTGTGGCTTAAGGTGAATGTAAGCTGGGTTCAGCTAGGGTCAAAACTTCCAGCTGAGCATCAGCACCAAACCTCCTCCCTGCGAGGCCCTGTGGCTGTCCCTGAACTAAATTCCCTGTCCTTCTGATCCTCAGAAGCCTCCTCAAATTTGTGCAGCACAGAGCCCACCCTAAAGCTACCCACACCAACCCTTGAAGAAAAAAATGACACAACATTGTGCCTGAAATAGTATCTTGTCCCAAATCCAGAGCAGCTCCCCGCAAAGCCAAGACAGGGCATCTATAGCGCTAGTAAGCTGCAACCCAGAAAAATCAACCCATGAATGATAAAGATCTGAACACAGAGACAGAGCTATCATATATGAGTTTACTAGCACCATATTCTTAAAGTCTTCCTTCATCCTAGACCTGATCTTATGAAAGTGAGCCATTATACAATGATTTACCATCTGTCTTGGCAACAACTATGAAAAAACATGACTGAAAGATAGGAAGAAGTACTTACATAAGTAAATTCTTTAGTTAAACCACTCAGCCCTTTCAAACTTCCTCATTAACATAAAAGATATCATTTTCTTTTTAAAAATCTTTTTCTACATCTCCCATTGAAAGACCTCCTCCTTTTTAACCCTTCCCACCTCCCCACAAAGTAGTTATATAGCTATTTGGGTACTGGCTTACCTTGAGCAGAGCTCGAGCAATTGCAATTCGTTGCTTCTGTCCACCTGGGGGAAAAAGCTCAGTAAATTGAAGTAGGAAAACATATGTAAAGTAATTTTAACTGAATGCCTGAGCTGAACGGAATTACGCACATGTACTTTAGGGGGTGGGATGGAGATGAAGGAGGGATTTTTTAAATACTTATGGCAGACTATGACTTGGAGAAAAAACTAGTAACAAAAAATAATAGAATTTTTACTTCACTCTATAGCATCCAGATTTTTAAAATAAGCAATATAAAGATGTACCTGAAAGCAAAATGCCTTTTTCTCCAACTAGAGTGTCAAACCCTTTTGGAAAATCTCTGATAAAACTAGCAGCATTAGCTATTTCAGCAACTTTCTGAATCTCCTCTGCAGTCACAGTAGAAGGATCCTCTGCACCATAGGCAATATTTTCAGCAATAGAACAGGAGAACAGAATTGGTTCCTAATAAATTCAAAAACATAACTAATATGGTAGAGATCTGTAATCACATGCATGTATTGTCTATATCTCAAATAACATAAATCCCACTTACAAGACCCAGCATTAATTTCTTTTATATCCATACAAAGGAATATGTAAGCTAGAGTTAATTGAATTAGACACAAAAAACAGAGAAGAGGACTGGCAGATAGGCCAAGTGATGTACAATGGGAGAATGTCTGAAACAAGGTAAGTCTGCTCTGTTTATAAAATAGAGACATGCTGTAGTATGAATACCAGTATGAATCTCCTACTGGTAACTCAAGGGGAATACATACATTCAAAAAGAAAAACGCTAATGTGTCCACAGGAAAATAATTTTTGCACAAAAGCTTTTGGTGGCATTATTACATAAAGTAGATGTTTTGAAATGCAACATGTGCTCAGTTATCCTCATGCTTTTAACCAGAACATCAACCTAACAGTTAATTGCATTGTGAAGCACCTGGGGAGAAGAGGGAAGGAACATACATATTCTAATTGTCAAATAGTTTATTTTTAAGAGACCATTGAACATCTCTCTGTATTTGCAGAGTTTGGGGGTTGCTAGGGAGGGGGCACTACAAGATTAAGTGCCAACAGTGCTGTATTTTCATGCTTTCCTAATGGAATTGTGTTTGCCTGGAAACAACACAGAGCACAGGTGGTCAGTTTTCAAATGGTTGTGTAAAATATGATTGTGTAACTGCCATTAACATAAAACGTGATTAAATGTTAAGCCTTGTGTTACTTTCTTCAAAAAATCATAGCAAACATCAAGATGGTCATACCTATACAATTTGCAACAATGTACTTTCCAGTCTCCACATGCACACTTTTCTTCTAAGCTAACACTTTGAATCTCTATAATTATGTAAAAATAGACTACAGAATAATGGGGCTAGTTCTGAATACTTATTTTTAGAACAAAGCATGCACAACAGCAGTTATGGTGACATGGAGGGATTTCACTGAGAAGCAAGATTATATAGTTTTAAAAAGAAGAGAAGTGAGGCACAGCTAGTTGATCACACAAGATTATTTCATTCACTTAGAACTTTTTTTTCTTCCTCACCTGACTCACTGTTCCAATCTTTGTCCTGAACCACAGTGGATTTAACTGACGGATATCAAAGCCATCAACGGTGATAGTACCTTAAATTAAGAAACAGTAAAGTCAAATGTGTTTGACAAGTACTGAGAAGAGGCAGAAAGAACAGTTGAGAATAACGACCCCGGAGGAATCGCATACTGGTGGATCAGAAATGCAAAGCTATGCAGGCACCACCACAAGGTAATGAACCATACACCCCAGCAGGAAGCACAGTTCATCAGTGGAACAGTCACGTCAAGACGTCAAGCACAGGAAGCCCGACTGTTTGTAAAGTGTATCTGAGATGCAAAGCACCAATTGTCACGAATGAGAGCAACACACAAAACATACCTGAGATAGGATCATACAGCCTCAGCAGAAGGGATACGATAGTTGATTTCCCTGTACCACTTGGGCCAACCAGAGCCATAACAGAGCCAGCTGGAATGGAAAGGCTAAAATCTTTGAAAATAGATGTTTCTGGGCGTGTTGGATATGCAAACTCGACGTCCTTGAATTCCAAAGCACCTTTGAACGTGTCTTTGCCTAGTGTGATTCCCTCTATATGAGAAAGAATAAAATACAGAAATGTGAACAGAAACAAAGATCAGCTCAGCCCTCCTAGAACTTGCTTTACAGAAACCCAATAGAAATATCTATCTCCATGTTAAATCCAGGGATAGCTGCAGGCCACAATTCAGGACCGCAGGGGTTATATTTCAGCCATGACTGAATCACTGTGGTACACCACTGGTTCCTGAATGTAATTTCAGGTTGCTCACCAGCAGTGAAGCTGTAGGCTACCTACAGCAAGAGGGATAATCTGCATCTTGCTAATACCTAACAACGAACAATGTTCAATTCTAGTAGAATTATCTGAATTTTTAAACATATTATGAACAATTTAAGTTTTGTCAATTAGGAGCAATGAAATGAAATGGCATTGTTGAAGGCCAAAGTCCCGTTGCCATAGAACACATGCAAAAAGATAAACATTGCAAATCATTTACTGTCCTTTCATCAAGCCACAAAAGTCACCTGAAACACCCTCCTCTTTGGATAAGAGTAGTTCCCTCTCCACCACCTGTTAACTGGGTAGCTTTTAAGCTGTCACTGGAATAAAGTTGCTGCTAGCTTTGTTGCATTAATGGCCATTTTTTAGGGTGTTTTTTTTTAAGTGGAAAGTAAATTTAATAAATTCAGGACAACGTTATATTCAAAGACCAATCAGAGGCATTACTCTTAGGCAACAGTTCACTGAAACTAAAATTTCAGTTTGTGAAATACCATAACAAACCATCATGAATGAACAACTGCCCAAGTTAAATAAAACCAGCTTCTTTCTGGAGCACAGCACTGGATTTAAACAATTATCTTAAAAGAATACCAGTACTAGAAAAAGCTTACAAATAGGTAAGACAAAGAAACACAATTTCTTCAAGCCTTGTTAAATCCCAGCAACACATATCCATACAAAGCAAACTACGTGGACAGTGGTGCTGCATTCCCAAAGGATAGAGTCTCACTGACAAAGTTCCTACCAGTTTTGTGAAAACTGGCAGCACCAGAGCAATAACCGAGCAGTGTTTGTTCGTGCTGAAGACATGCAACTCAAACCCCTTAATTCTGTTCAGACGCAGCACATAGGTAACCCCCAACTAGCCACAGCATATGGTAGCACATGCCCGTGTTTGGTTCAACAGTAACTGGATAGGAAACACAGACACCCATCAGTTGCAATCAAGATTTCACTACTCCTGCAGTTCCTAGACCAAATAATTTATTTTGCTTTTCTTTTTCCCGGATTCCCTCCTCTTCTCCAGCTTTTCAGTTTAATGGTAGTAGTATAGAAATGGCAAAGGCAAGAGCATACAATTTCAGACTCCTTCCTTGACTTTAGTCCATGGACATACACATTGTAACTTCTTTGTTAGGTAAAAGCACAATGGCCTGTAAACCTCCCTTTGGGAAAAGAAATGTTTTTGCTAAATTCTGTGCTAGCAGCATAATCTTTACTATTACCAAAGTAACAAGTAATTGCTTATCTTTATTCTCAGTTCCAGTTATTGCACAGTCTATTCTGTGCCCTGAAACACTGAAATCTACTGCAATACAGGAAGTCTGGTACCACAAGTCCTTCCTCTATATATTACTGTAAAAATATCCAAAAGCTATATACAGGATTGTGCTTGTTTCTTGTTTGGATTCTAGATACAGGAAAAAAATACATTATAATTTGTTCCTGAGATATCTGTTGTCACCAGCAACAGCTGGAGTTCCATGAAAATAAAACCTAAGTAGCCAAGAGAGTAGATGTTTCAGGTGGGTTTGGACAGTAGAGAAATAGTCTCTTGGCTTTATTGTCTGATGTGCCAGAAATCAACTATAATTGGGTTCTGAGACTAAGGTTTATATCCTTTCCTATTTATTTAGTTTATACTGAAAGGAAACTTAAAAGAAGCTTTCTGTAAGCCTATGCTACGTGGACATCTGAAACTCTGTCTGACTTATGTTCTGTCTATAAAATAAAGATTGTTTTCTGGATGTCACTATTGGTGTGATTAAACAATTCAATACCTGCAGTGGGAAAGACAACTTCTGCCCCAATACTGCTGCTTACTTTGCACTGGTATCACTGTAAAGGTGAAGACCACTGAAATAATCCAGATTAAAAATAAAAAAAAATCCCACTCTGCAGTGTGGCACTGGATGTCATGGCAGGAAGTTTAAGCCAGCTTCATTGGTAAAGACAAGAGTGTGTAACTATCCCTTCATCAGTCAGCTGGCGGTTACCTTTTGGACAAAGGACCTTTGGACCTTTTGCTATTCTAAGTCTGCCTCCATCCACTGGAGACAATATTACTTTTCAGGGCCTAAGTCAAGTCTATGCACATTGAAAAGCATCCTACAGACAGGCTTGCAGCTGTGAAGAGAAATGAGACAGAGGCCAACTGTGACTTGGTGTCCATCAGATTAAGAATCTGAGGAATTCCAGTGCAGGGAGACAGAAGCAGAACAGAAATTTGAAGCACAGCATTTCAAAAGAACCCCTCTGTAGTAACCAACTCAAAAGATAAAACTCCATTCTTTCTGTGCTGCTGTGGCAAAGAAAGCCAACAGGATGCTGGGTTGCATCAACAAGGGCATCACCAGCAGAGATAAAGAAGTCATTATCCTACTCTACTCCACGATTGCCAGGCCACACCTGGAATACTGGGTTCAGTTTTGGTCCCTGCTGTACAAAAAAGATGTGGACAGGCTGGAGGGGGTCCAGAGAAGGGCCACAAAGACGATCCAAGGACTGGGAAGCCTGCCATATGAGGAAAGGCTGAGAGAACTGGGTTTGTTCAGCCCTGAGAAAAGCAGGCATAGGGGAGACCTTATCATGATGTTCCAGTATTTAATGGGTGGCTACAAAGAAGATGGAGACTCCCTTTTTACACAGAGTCAACTGGAAAAGACAAAGGGTGGGATGGGGGGGAGGGGGCAGGTAATGGGTACAACAATGCAAACAATCAGCCACTGGAAGAATCTCCCCAAGGAATTGGTGTATTCCTGTATTCCCCAACATTGGACACTTTCAAGATTTGGCTGGACAGGGTGCTGGGCCATCTTGTCTAGACAGATTGCCAAGAAAGATTGGACCCAGTGATCCTTGAGGTTCCTTCCAACATGGTATTCTATTATTCTTTACAGCCAGAGCTCACTCAAAAAACCTATTACGTCTGTTGGGTGTTCTTTTCTGACTCTGACTCTTAGAGCAGCCCTTACAAAGTTTCCAGATCAGAGGACCGTATAAAACTCAGAGAGAAACTAGTGTTGACAGCTCACCTGGACTCTGCTATATTGCATTTCTCAACAACATACAGAGCTGGTGAACAGTGATGTACGATTTTTGCTAAGTGGGATGCAGGCAATTAAATAAAACAGCAACTCACACAGAAAGTATCTTCTACAAGCAGCTTATTGAACTACTTTGATGGATACAGGCAAACGCTGTTTATACAAAATACGCTCAGTACTAGAGGGCGTTGTCTAGCTTCCAAACAATAAAACTGTAAATAAGGTGTTGCTGGCAATGTATTTTTATTTACTATATTTAAATATTATTAGATATTAAAAATATTTGTTTGTTCTATTTAAATAATTAAATATTATTAAATATTATTTTAATTATTAGTAGTATTTATTTTTTATATTTGTTTAAATGTTACTATATTTACATACTTATTTAAAAGGCAGATTTATAGGGAAGTTTGCATATCTTCTTTTGGGGATTTGACTAGTACCTCAGCAAGCTTCCATAAAAGTCTAACACCTCTCAAAGGTGAGCACATTCTTCTATAAACATACTGATAAAACCAGATGTGATTTCAGATTCACAAACCTATCTTTAGGCCTAAAGCAGCCCATGAAAAGAATTCAGATGTGAATGCCTGATTTGCCACAAAAATTGGTTGTTTCTCCTCACACAACCAATAATGTCAAACTTGATTAATAAAGGACATTACCTCCTCTTCAAAACTTCCTTGTTCATACCTAAAGAAGGGAGAAATGTGGGTAGTGCTACTGTGAAGAGAGGGGTGCAAATCATTCCAAAAGCAACACCTGCTGTACTTGCACATCCACACTCTCCCAAGAAGCTGGACTCTCCACCTCAGCTCCACCCCTTCCTTCCTTTCATTTCCCAGTCATGCCTCAGTCCTGCTATGGCTGAAGAACTCAAAAATTCAGTTTGGCATGTGCTGCTGAAAGGCCTCAAACTTGTGCTTACAAATTAGGTTTCACATCAACATGTCTCACTAAGGAACTGTTTTCACTGGATCACTATGAACCGTTTAAACTTGAGACACTCTTAATGAAAAACACCTGGTTTTGAAAGCATCTCTTTTCAGACTGCTAATTTCTTAGCCATTAGAGATGAGTGTGGTAAACCTTTTTATTGCAAATATGAGATACAACCATCTCAGAGCTCCTCCCTCCCCTCCTTTTTCTTCCTTCCACTCTTTTCACTCTAAAGCTGATCCAAGAGACAGTGGTGATGACATCAAAGACATATTCCAAGAAGCTAGAAATGAGCATGTCCTCAGTTACACTTTCAAAGTAATATATTTAAAACCATATTCTGAATTAATTAAAGAAAAAAACCACCAAATTTTCAGCTTCTAAAATTTCTGATTAAAGGAAATTTTCATCATCTGTTTCATAGTTAGGAAAATTCACAAGAATTACCACTATATCTAGTTTCTTTCAAAAGAATGTAAGTCAGTACTACCTTTAAGTACAACACACATCCTTCTGAAATACTGGTGACCAATACAAGAAAAATCAACCTATGAACAGTAACAAAGCAGGGACCCACCATTAAACGGAAGTTGGGGCTTCCTTTCAATAAGTTCCCAAAGACGTCCACCAGCACCTAGTCCTTTCATTAGCTCAGAATAAAAGGAACTTAGACCTAAATAAAAAGCAGAACAGTATTATGCATCCATAAGGAGTGGAAGACACAGGAGGCATAAAATTTGCGTTATACTTTTTGTCACTAGCACTGAAGCATCAAATGTGTAGGGGATCTTTTACTCCAACACACTATCAAACATGTTGATTTAAATCCTATCTAGTCTCACTTGAGAGCTACCAATAACTCTTATTCACCATTCTTACTTATATCTGTAAAAGAAATCGTTCTGAAGAAAAAAGAAGAAAATGTTAATACACTTAAGCTTGCATATACTCAAAAGCAAAGCAGCTCTTTTTCATTCATCTGTCAGGAAGAACAGCATCCAACTTTAGAGAAATAGCCTTGCATGCAACCTACTAGGACAATTTTTAAAATCATTCAGCAGAACGGAACACTCTGAATGCCCTTCTTTGTCAGACAGGGTTATACTACTACAGGGGAGCCTGGCTGAGTCAGCCACAGGGGAGGGAGGGCACAAAACCTAAGGCTGAACTGACGCTTGAGAAGCTATGTGGAGAATGAACAATGTAAAGAAATATATCTCCCAAGTCAGCATGCTTCAAACATTACTGGATAAAGCAAAAGCTAAGGACAAGGCCTGCATATAGCACTGGGTCCCAGCTCTTAGCAGCTGTGTGAATCATCTTGGAGCTGGCTTTGCTGAAGGGCTTTCCAGCTGAAATAAACACAGAAACCAACCTAGAACCAAAAATGGAGTAAGACATAAAATGTCTTATTTCTCCAGTGTTTGTGTGTCTTTCAAAACAGAGTAACCAATTTAAAAAACTCTGAATTCCAACAGAATAAACATACAGAAGAAACCACTTCCATCTTAAAATGCATATAGTGTTAAGAGTGATTTCAGGAGGGAAGAAAACCCAAGGTATATTAAAATAGGTTTACTGGTTTATTCTTTCAGAGCAACAAGCCCAGCACAAGGTCATGAGTCTGTAAGTGTAGACAGGGGATTTCATCATGCTGCTGCTGAGGACTATCTGAAAGCTTGCAACACAAAGCACCAGCCGCAGTGAGAAGCTGTCTGCTTGGAAAAAAGAGCCAAAGCACCTACATCCTAGAGCAGAGCACAGGGGAGAAGGCTGAGCCTCACAGAGCACCTTGAAACTGAGACACTGAGGTTTGCAAATTCACAACCACTCTTAAAAAGCATTATATAATAAGGACAGCAAATACTACTTAGAAAATGTTTTTAATTTTCATAACCTGTGTTCACAGTGTTTGGTAGAAAACACAGAAAACTGTTACAACAAAAAGGGGCAAAGTCCCAAATTATGCAGTGAACTTCAAAGTTCATTGCATGAACTTCCATATGTATTGATGATGACATAGCAAGCAGACTTAGCACTTCGACGATTTACATGCCTTGTAGGTGTCAAGGAAGGCAGGCTTCTTGTGGCAAGACACCTTTACTTCAGAGTCCCCATGAGAATAAGGTCTGTACAGAACTATATTCTTCAATAATTTTAAGTAGAATTTAACAAGATGTTTTTATAGCAAATAGAAATTAATTCAATGACATTTTATCAGTGCTTCTAAACTTATTCTTCGTTTATTTTACATTAATTTGCCCCATGTTTTCACAGTGCCAGGTATCTGTCTGTTGACCACACTTGGATGACTTAACCAGAGATGAAAGGGTTTTGGTAGTTGGTATGGGTGCCACTGGAATTTTGATATTCGAGGAAGCAAGTTTTGTGAATTTTGCCTTCAGGCACATCTTTGTGCTTCCCACAATATCAGGCTTAGTCTTAGAAGAGTACAGATGAGCTGCATTGCCCTGCCAGTCTATCAGACGTAGCAGACTCATTTTAAAGAACAACCCTTCCAATCAGTTGTCAAACTTCAAAGTACCTTATCTTCACTTTTGCCTGTATGCAGTAGTAAAGACTGCTCTGTCAAAAAGATGAACAGTTTGTTTCTGGGCCAGTAGATTACAGAGCCTGAGCTTCAAAGGAGGAGCCAGTCAGTAAGGAAAAACAAAAGGTTAGCACCAGAGTGTAGTGTTCTGCTGGCACATTGTTTACTCTTTCAGCTCAAGACACTCTATACTGTGTTACAGCTAAATTCTACATGTCTTTCTAAATAGAGTAAGTTTAACACAGACCCACATATTTTGTAAAAATTATAATACCAGTATTACTTCTTTACACAATATACCAAGTATCTTAATTTAGACCCAAAGAAAATTAAAGTAATATGTATCTGTCACATACACACATCGAAAAAAATAACCTCTGTATTCCTTTGGGAAAATGGAAGGCGTATATTAAGATTAAGTTATAAATTATTATTTTCATTAACTCTTCAGAAAAAAAAAATTATGTATAATTTCTTGGGAAGATCATTTGGAAGAAACTTTTTAAGAAAGCCAGATCTTTTAAGAGCTTCTTCCCTCCCGCCCCCATACTGACTGTAACGCTTTGAAGTGAAGAAAATCTAATTTCTCATTCCATACCTCCAATGCTTATTCCAACCCAGAAAGCATACATTAGGAAAGATGAGAGTTCACCAACTGTCATGTAGGCACTGCCCATTAATAATCCTCCTTTGTATAAGACTGAGAGGACAATTAAGTTTCCAGAAAGGCCAGTCTAAGGAAAAAGAGGAAAAGGCAGATTTTGTCACATGTATCTTAAATTTCAACCTCTAAAATGTTGCTTCAGAATTTTCCTTCTAATAAAAGAATTCCCATATTATGGGTATCTAGATTTTTAGAAGACTGATTTAAATTTAAACAAAACCAATTTGAAAGCAAACCAAGCCAACAGCCAGCCAGACATCCACTGGCACTGCACTGTGCTATCCAACAAGTGCTCAAAAAGCAAGCACCTCTTTTCCCCGTGCCCACCCCCCCCCAAACGGAAAGGAACACCAAACATTATTCTCAACCATCATTAAAGGAGAAGAGTTGATAGTCTGCAGTTACATTGCAGTTTTAGAATACTGTTAAGCAAACTCACTGCAAACTGTTATGGAAAAATGCAATCCCACCCTCCCTCCCCGACCTGTGCACTCCCCAGCTTCCTTTGCATTGATGCTCATCTCATCAGGAACACAAACCTGTAAAACACTAAGGGTGGGGGGAAAGGTTTCCACTAGTTTAGTTCCCCGAATATGAGGTATGGGCTCAGATAAATACTACCAAGCTAAGGGTGTGGGGCAGAAATAGAGGCTTAAACTGGCTTTATCATACCACTGTATCTTGAAGTGCAGTTTCACAGCAATTTAGACTGATTTAAGTCCAGTCTTCCCACAGTTTTATGTAGGTTCAATTTACACTCAATTCATTTATTTGCGGATTTATAAGTACCTTCATGAATTTTAAAATAATCGACACTTGGCAAAACATGGTTGGTTTACTTTCATCAAAATATACTTACTGCTCCAAAGAAGCCTGCCCGAGCTAGTGCCTCTTTTTTAGCCAGTTGTAGTACATAATCAGCTTTATTTGTATACTTTCCCACCTCAGCCACTTCTTGTCCAAAAGCTCGAACTGTTCTTATGTTTCCAATACGCTCTTCAGCTAACTACATTAAAGCAAAGAACAAAACAAATATATGCAGACACACAATTTGGAATGTTCATATTACAGAACATTTAAAAGCTAAACAAGTATCACTACACTAATCTCCAAATACATTCCTTTGGACACCACTGGAAAATTTCTTATGCCCTCCTCTCTCCACCCCTCCCCCTCCTTTTTTTTTTTTTTTAATTTATTCTATTAAGTTGAAAGTAAACTGCATGCCCAGACAGTTTAAAAAGAACTTCAAGATTGCCTTAAGTGCTAGCAGAGATAGAAAAATATAAAAGTAGCATTAAAAAAAACCCACCTTAATTTGATGTGAACAACACACATAAGAAAATTACTATTCACAATAACTTGCAATAACAACATGGGGAGGGGAAAAATAAAGAATATTCTATCCTACACTAAATCATGCGAGAAAGCCTGCTGTTATTTCCTGAAACAATTCCACTCATTTGATCAAAGCAACACTGGGAATTAATTTAGCCCAACTACTAATGTCTCATTTCAACTCAGTATTTTATTTTAACTTCTAAACAGCAAAGTATTAATTCTAAAATTACCTCAATTGTAACCAATTAGACTAAGTTGTTAACAGACACTGTGATGGTCTGACAAAAAACAGGGCCCCCTTTTGTGAGTAAAAATATGACATAAAAATTATAATTCTCCTTCTTCCATCCTCCATTCAACCTGAAAATTCAAATGGAACACTAAAATTGCTTGTTCATGTGAAGTCCCACACCTGGTTTGCAAAGGCATGAGCTTCCCTTCAACACAGGATGAGGAAGATAAACAGAAGAGGGATAATCTTCCTTCTGCACAGTCAATTTGCAGAAGTCCTACAAAGGACATGCCAAGTTTAAAACAGCTGACAATTGTGGTTATTTTAACTGGATCTTTCCTAATTATATTTCTATGCTTTTTAATGATGTGAGGAAAAGGTCACTATCACTACTCTTTTCTGATAGTGCTTTGCAATATTTCAGTGCAGTCAGCAAACACAAAGAAAGCCCTTCTACAACAGCCTCTTTAGAAACAACAGCTTCCTCTACTTTCCTCCCAAATATCTGGATATGTGCTGAGATGCCCAGAAAAGCTTAAGAAATGTAAAACCTCATAAACATTAAAGAGCTGACAATAAGGTCAAACGTCAAGGATTCATTTCAGAGAAGGACTTGCTAGCAAAGTTTTCTTAAAAGACAGAACCATCTAGGATGCTTCTGATGGCTTCAAACTCATAACCATAGTCCAAGAAAAGTGTTTTTCAAACCCAGGTACCAAATTACACACGACTTCAAAGGTTGATTTTTTTTATGCTCTCACAAAGCTAAAGCCTAACCTCTTTATCCTTTCCTACATTTCCAAATTCTCAAGGCCTGGTACCTCCACATTATATTGTTATGGACAACCAAAGCACCGTTGCTTTTGACATCTATGAATAAGTGTTACTGGTGTTTACCTTTCATACTATTCAGGTGCAAAACTACAGGCTCAGCATGGCTTAGGGCAATGAACAGTACAATTATCTTCAGAAGTTCTTTAACTTCAGAGATATTAACCTAAATACTCTAGAGCAACTTTGAAGTTAACTAGAAAGCATCTGTTAAAAGATTACCTGTGTTGCTTCTGCGAGAGAATCTTGGGTCATTTTAGTTAGTTTTCGCAAGTATCTTCCATAAATCACAGCCAGGACAGCCAAGGGTGGCACAACGCTCAGAACAAATGCAGCAAGGCTAGGAGACACAAAAAACTAGAAGAAAAAGGTATGTGTCAGGGGTGGTGAGTGTTTAGATTAAAAAAAACCACTAGAGTACTGAAGTGCAACTTGCCTCACTAGAGTTTTCTAAAACTAGTAGGACTGTAATTTAGTGCTGCCATGCTTTCATTTATGATGTTTTATTACTTCCAGACAAAATATCCATTCCTCCACAGCATTTGGGATGTATCCCATGGTTAGAACAAAGGATTATAAGCAAAGCGGTCTGGATTTCATTTCTTGCTTTCTCACTGGTTTGCTGTGTGGTCTTAGCCAAATATCTTAACCTGCCAGTAAACAGGCCTAGTAGGAAATCTCTTGGAGATGCTGAAAGACATAAGCTACTATATAGTTTCTAAAGCACTTACACAACTTTTAAATAGACAGTGTAATGCAGAAAGTTTGAGTAGAGAAATATCGTACACTGCTTCTGGGTAACTGAGGAACAGGTGGAGTCGCCAGTGCTCCCTAGCACCCATGAATGTTCATAACCTGGAATAATGGATTTAATTTACTCTTGCAAAACCTTATCACTTGTAGCAATCATCATCAAAGCTCCTAAATGGGTTCTTTTAATAAGATTTATTGAAATTAGATCTAATGTGCTTTCATTTCATCTTGCTTTCAGTATCGAAAACAAAAAACTCCAGAAAAACTAAAAATCAACTTAACTGACAGGCTTTATAAATATTTCATAATAATCTCTTATTTCTGGGCAAGCTTTTATAGTCCACCTTTTAACACTGTAGCATGGAAGCATTTTGAGCAGAATGCTTTACATAAAGTTATTCTATTTTATCTATGGTAAGATAAAACCTTAGACTCTATTTGCTTAGATAAATACAGAAAGCCATAATTCTTATCAGTGACAAAGTATTAAAGCTTTAAAGCTTCATAGTGGAAACTCTTAACAGTTTCTAATAACATCAATATTGGAAGCTTATTTTTATTTTGCTATCTGTTTTTAACTCCAGGTAGACAGCAGAAATTACCACACCTTCATTTAAGATAATTGCCACCAACGTATCTTTTCTCAGATAAACCTAACAAAATTAATGCCACCAAAAACTTCAAGGGAACTGATGCACTGCACTGAAGCCTTCATTAACATGCTTCCTACCTAAATATATTCTTTACCAATGGACTAAAGCAGAAAGACTAACACTTATAAAAATCCTCGGCAGTAGTTTGATATTCGGTGTTGCCTTTGCTCACCTAGGCCTTAACCAGAATCAACCAACACCAATGACTTTTACATCAGTCCCTTCACACCCTATTTTACCTACAAGCATGGGAACGTTATCACTGATTTTAATATCTTCAGTAAGAAGAGAGTTAAGCTATTTGCCTACTATACTTTGCTTGATAAATTTGGGCAGTAACAGTAGTTCATTTCAAACCTTCGTTCTCCATATTTTGGTCTGTGAGTAAACATCAAGTGGCTACAGGCACATCATCTATTGCAAGGCAGTACTTAAAAGTTATTGTAGATAACCAGTGAAATACACTTGTATCCAAGAACACACATTCAGTTTCTGGACTGAATCACATTCACACATTACCTAACAGAACTGAAACAAACTTGAAACTACAAGAAGTGACAAGCAGGGAAGAGACCACCATACCATCATTCCAACCCCCACAGATGCCTGTGCTCCTGCCCGGAGCCCATCTGAAAGGTTTTCAGTCACTGAACGGCCCAAGAGGGCTGTATCCGAAGATAAGCGGTTTATCAGCTCTCCTGTTCTGGTCTTGTCAAAGAAAGCGGTTTCTTGCTTCAGAATAGAGGAGAACATGGTTGTTCTCAAACGCTTCACAATTCTTTGTCCTGTCAGAAACAGAAGTCAGTGAAGCATGGCACACAAGACTTTACACAGACACCAACAATATAAAAATCACAGGATTACGCAGCACTGAACAAGACACATTACAGAGTTTTAATATACTAGAAGAGAGTGAGCTTTAAGATGTCACGTAACAGTAAATAAAAATGAACAATTATTCCAGCATACTTATCTTTGCACTATTAGTTTACCTTTGATCTGGTTATAAAAGCTACTGATTCCAAGAGGATCTCTCAACCAGTGCCAAGAATTTATTTCAGATCATTAGATATCCTGACTCTGTGAAAAAAGGTGACTCTCAGTACCACTTTTTGCTTCTGTTTTTACCTGCAGTCTGCATGAGGTAGACACGAGTAGCATTAGCAGCAGCACCACATAGAAAGATTCCACTCAGCAAGGCACACAGGCTGGTCAGGCTGTCAGTGAACTCTTCACTGGGATTTGTATAAATAATGTCAATAACTTTCCCCAGAAAGAAAGGGGCTGACATGGTAATGACACTGGAAACTGTCAGAAAGCCAACAGCAGCTGCAAATCAACAAGGAAAAGGATAGGAAAATTATTCTGAATTTGCAGGATCATTAATAGTACATATGAAATAATTTTTCACTTGAAATTTCTATTAAGCTTGTGAGTGCCAATATTAAATAATCAGCGTTCCTTTAGGCCTAGTTCTGAATGGGCTATTTTAAGTCACTGTATAAATTAACTTGGGCAAGGCACATTTTAAGATCCTGAAAGCCTCTGTATACAATCAGTCCTGGAATTGCTTCTCTTGTCTAACCTTACATAGCACCATCCAACAAGGTTAACTTTTCACAGATGTCATCCTTAGAAAGCATTAACAGTTACCAAATTTTCCATATCTCACATATAATCCTTCAACTCCTGTTTGGTTTGGGTTTTATTATTCATGCTTGTTACTGTATTAAAGCTTTCAATGGTCTATTTCTGATTTAGCAATGGACTGAAGTAAAGATCTGATCTGAGAACCATGTAAACCATGCTATTTTATTGGGGGAAAAAACCAACAAAAAAGCATTTGATTTACTCTTGACTGGAAAATTTATATACATTTGTTTTGTTTTACTCCTCACTATTGTTAGTCTAAAAGAAAAATAGCATAAATTTGAATTTGATGATGAGCAGAGCTCTTGAATTCCAGTTGCAAGGTCAGCTGTGGAACAACCTGTGTAACTTGGTTTGACGCTGTATCACAGAGAGTATGAAAATCGCACTGGACCAAGACTTAGCCTTTTGAACATTAATCTGCAAAGAAATTTCTTGAGCTAAGGACACAGCTTGATTCTGAAAAGGCAATCCAGGCTGAGAGCTAGGAAAAACCCCATCTTAAATGAAAACTGAACAAACTTGATATGAGAACCACCGAACCACAACAAACAATGCCATTTATACAGTATAATCTTCCAACAGCCAACCCCACACTTAAAGCAACCATTCATAGGATTGCTACAAAACTACTAGCAGATAATGTCTTTAAAGGCAAAAAGACACTGTACTGAAAATCCTGAAGTTGTCTGAGTTTTAGTATCACTTCTGTGATGCAGACAGCAGAGAGCCTCCCAGCAGCGCGTGGCTATAAACAATATTTCTAACATCTGTCACAGACGGTTTGATACCTTTTACCACCTCCACACACAAGTGGAAAGCTTTCAGTTTTTACGTGAAGTGTAAATACAGCTGTGCATTTATTCGGGGTACAAAAAAATGCATACCTGCCACCACCTGAAGCAAACACTTCTCTGCACCTTCATTGAAGTGCCCCAGAGCAGTCCTGGGAGAGCTCCACACACTGCCCAAACAAGCTTTATCCTTGCTGTTGCATCCAACCTGCAGCCTGTCAAGATTTCTTCGTGATCTTTCCGTTATGTTACACTCAGGCCAGCAAGCATATGAAAGATAAAGGACTCGCGTCCTTAACTTGAAGCTATAGAAACCATAAGAAGCCAGAACAGAAAGGGAGAGACTTTCTGCTGCCATCCTGCTTTCTGATGCCATCAACACATCTCATAAGCATATTATTTACTAGCTGAAACTTTGTAAGAATGAGTGACCTTATTAACAGGCTGGCTGCACCGATGTATTCAAGCTGTGAAGCAGCAGGGAAAAAATCCAACAAAAGCCAGGTCATCTCCTTTCAGGAAAAGCTGGTCTGTGAGGCAGCTGGAGATGATCAAAACATTGCTTATAAGCACAGTGCTGCACAGCAGCTCACCCTCCACTAATCCAGACAATTTCTCAGTTATGGATGGAACTGGACATATGAACTGCATATATAAATGTTCACTGAAGGAAGAGGACTGTATGGCTAAAAATCCCTTACGTCTCTGTTTAGTGGTACAGCCTTCCTGGTGTGGATTTACCTTCAGCTCTTCTTCATGGGTTTCACTGTAATTACTTCCAACAGCCTTAACTGAACTAAAAGCAAATACTAGTACATAAACCAAACTGAAGACTACTAAACTACTTAAACATTTGACAAAGTGTCAATAATATATTGGAACAATGCAGTCCTGAAGATGAAAGCTTATATCATCCAGATGTCACTTAATTTTCCCCTTAAGCAATATACCTGTCTTTATTAATTTAATCACAAATCACATGCAAAACAAGGTTCCCTAATTGAAACTCTCACTTTGATTATACCAGAACAACTAGGAAATAGCACAGAAGCCAAGCTGTTGCTCTCTTTTTTTTTTTTTTTAAACTGTTGACTAATTGAAGAAATAGGAATCAGCAAATACTTGTTCTATCTCCTCATTCAAAGAAGAGCTGTCATTGTGATAACTGGCTAAAGGGAGGAGTATGAGGTGTTCAGTAACCAGATATGAAGACATTTCAGTGACACTGAAGGCTGTTACTGACAGAAAAAAAGGTCAGAGTAAACTTTATAGTATTAGTTTCACATAGCTTACTCTGTTACCCAGAAAACTATGTCAAACAAAAGAGTATATTTTGGAAGCTTTATTTTTTAGAGTAGATCTGCTTTGTAGGCTATGAGATGAAAATAAAGTGGAACTTAAAAAAACAGGGCTACATCAAAGTGGCAACAGAAGCAAAGACAAGGCAAGCTGGCTGCAGCAGCAGCTGAGCAGTCCTCGTGGAAACTTTAGGCAAACAATTTGCTTGTCTGCCTGCACAGAAATCCAGATCGCTGCACAGACAAAGTGATGTCTTTATCACTATTAAAATCAACATGCTCTCTGCTAAGGCTAATGTGGGCTTGTTTCCTGACAGCAGATCTGCAACTTCATTTCATAGTAGATGTATTCAGGTGCAAGGAATTGGTTACCAACTGATAAACCAGGACGTTTACAAGCAGTAATTGGCAGAGCTATTGGAAACCTCTCTTCAGAACATGGACTAAGTGACTCCAGAGAGTCATAAACCAATTTTCTACATGCGAGAACACCACCACGTGAGTGAAAATTTCTAATTTTGCTGGTTCTTACCAGAGCGTACTTCTCACCCAGTACAGTATGTGGAAGTGTTCAAAGCAAAAAAAACCTGCTTGCAAGCCTGTTGGGGGAAGGGCTATTTTAAACACAAATACATAAAAATTTGACCTCAGATGAATTAAGATCATTCAAGCCAATGAAGGATGAAGGACAGAAAAATAAGGTAATGATGATGTTTGGCAGTGCATGGTAACACAGCATAGTTTTTACTATTCAGTAAGGTTATGAATGCTACCTCCCAGAATCTTGTAAGTATTTTACCAGTTTCATTTGAAGATCAGGGCTGGCAGGTCACAAAACAAGCTTTGGATTTGTGAGAAGTACCCTTCTACCGGTAACCAAGAATGCCTGTCCTTTACCAGTTATCTGTGTAGTTTTATTCTAATACACAGCGACTTTTTTAGCTTTACACAGAATTTCCACAAGAGCATTTGGAGTGATGAATAAAGTCTACTGCATTCTATCATATGCATGCACAGGGATAGGGCTTTTCAGTTGTTCTTTTGTGGGAGAAAGATGCACTGATAAATTTTATATTTATTGGTTAGGTAAAGTCCATTTCCATTAGGTGAACCCTGGCTCACAAGGAATTTGTTTTGGATTAATATCGGGAGGTTGAAGGACTGGTATCAACCCTGCAAAGCGACAGTTCTGCAAATATTTATTTCAAGAGAGAATCTTCTTCCAGAGTACACTGTAAGCACTTAAGGATGTTCTGTATAGTTCTATGTTAGGTATGACTGGTGTGGTTTTCTTTCCATCTTAAATTCATACACGATATCTGGACTGCACCTATTATTATGCAAGAAGAACCTTTTAGAATCGTCCTCCTTACATTATTAAGAACAACTGTAATACTGTGCTCAGGAGAAAAATACAGTTTGTGTCTGATGGCATGGTTGTATACTGCATTCCTGGTGCATTCTGGAAAGCTGCTAGCTTTTTGAGTGGAGTCGTCTTAATTTGCAGGTATTGTCAATATACTGAATCTTGCAAGTTACTATCTCCAGTGATGATCACAGTTTTTAGAAAATGTTTATAGGAGTATTCTATAGACAGTCTGATGTGGTTATTGAATCTGTGGTGCTTTTTCTTTTGTTATTTTTTTTAAGCATGAAAAAGCAGTTCAGGTTTTCAAACTGTTTTCTTTGGTACAATAATAATACAGTTGCACAACTTACTGAAAATATCTTCAAGACAGCTCATGAAAAGGCTGGCATACTGTGGGTCATCTGACTGACCAGGATTATACAACAGTTTGGAGAAATTAACAGTTGCAGAAAACGGCCGTGGGACAGAATTAAACAAGAGAGACAAACAATACCTTTGAGATAATATCTCAAGAACAAGACTAGTGTCCAGGGTCTGGAGGGCACAGCGAGATACCAGCACAGGAGCGAGCTCCAGAGTATCGACTGGTGACATCTCTCATGCTCAGAACATTTACACGATGCAACTTACAGAAGTCCATCACCTTGAAGAAAGCCTGCTCTTTGAATGATGAGGTGCTCAGGATTGACAGAGATCACCCTCGGTAGCTCCTCAGTGAGGCTCCTGTGATCAAACAGGACAGACCTGCCAGGAGTCCTTTGCTATAGAGCAAACAAAATATCAAGGAGCCTTTACAGAGTAGGCTATAGAGGGTTTGTCAGAAGAGCTTTCAGAGAGGATATTTAATAAGTGCCCTTCCAGGCAGAGCAGAAAACAGTGATTTGAGGAAGCCCAAAAAAGGGAAGAGCAAAGAAGACTGCCACTTTGCACAGGAGAGAAGGAGGAAGAGGTAGCAAGGCACACGCCTGACGGAAGGCCTACACAGAGCTGTGCAAAACCTCTGCTTGAAAGCAAAGATGGAGGCTTGACTCTGACTGTAAGCAAGTATCTTCACTTTCTCTTAGGAAAGATGGTATCTCTATTCTACAAATTGTTATTATCAATACGAACAGTACCACAAGCTAGTCTTTTTAAGACACCCAAAACCAGCTCGCCGCAAACAGGCCTGTTTAAGAACCCATTGAAATTTTTCTTTTTCACTTTTTTTTTTTTTTTGCCATTTGGAGAACTCATCACCCACACCCAAAATGTAAAAGCAGTTCAGGGTGGGGGGAAGGGGAATGCTATAATTTTTATTTCTAAAAGCTTACTATCCTGCAAAAACCCACAATAAAAGGATGGCTCATATAGCCAGGCTAGAATCCTCTGAATGTTTTCAACAGCTTCCCTGGACTACTGTTTCAGGACAATGCACCAGTCTGTAGTTCAGATACAGCAGAAGTATAGGGCTTACTCAGAAAAGTAAGAAAATCCTAGTAATTTCTGTGTTTTATGACAACATGTTAAAATAGCATAAACCATCAATTGTGCTCTCCTAGAATTCAGTTGAAGATATTTAGAAACCAGAATTCCTTTCAAAGACAAAGTATTTTAAAATGTCTATTGTATTTTCTCATTATATTGATTTTCCTCACCCATAAAAATCAGCTGTTTCTAATCACCAAATGTTAGAAAGTAATAAAATAACTCTAGGTTTGCAGGAGAGAGTGTAGCTTCTTTTTTTTTTTACCGTGCATTTAAAATTAAAGCATTTAACTTGTTCATCTCTATTTTGTGTAGAATACAGTCTTTATGTCAGACCAATCTAGCTATGATTCCTTCTATCTTCACAATTTACACAAATAATGCAGCAAAAACATTCCGCAGAGAAATTAAGTTGTAAGCACCTAACGGATCACAGTGGTCAGCAGCTACCATTTCTGCAATGTCTTACATAAGCAGTTTCATTAACAGTTCACCACCAATTTAAAATAAGGAACTGTCACCAGCTAGCCACAGAAAAGCAAACTTTTTGTGATAAAGCTAGAAGGTTGCTTGGACCTTTTGTGAGTTTCATACCAAACATTGACAAAAATCAGAAGAAAAACTAAGGGGGAAACAACAAAAAAACGTGTAGCCTATTTCATTTCTACAAAAGGCACACTGCACATGAGAAAACAATGAGTAAGTTACCCTTGTATATACCACACATGTAAGAATTATGATCTTAAAACCACAAGAATTGCCTTCAGAAAATTCAAGTTAAGTGTGGTTGTTGAGTTGCTTTCAGATGATCAGAACCACTTCACAGTAACTAAATACAGTAGCAAAAAACAGTGGCCACGTATGTGGAGTTGAGAGGTGAACCCAAATTTTGGCCAGGAATTTCCCAGCTACAGGGTGACAGCACAAGAACAGCAAGATTTACAAGACTGGGGTTCAATCCAGGTTCCAAAGAGAAGGGTATTCTAGTGCTTGTGAGCCCTGCCTCTGCTCCCACTGGCTTCCTTCCCATTGTGCACACTACAGTTAATTTGACTCACTGTCAAGGTTGGAATGGGTGTATGAAAACTGATTTTTCAGAGAGATGCGACTTGTCTGACTTTAATAAACTTTTAAATGGAGGTGGGAAAAGCATATCCTTAACAGTGTGTGGCTTGCCTGATGATGTTCAGACTCATCCTACAGAGCAAAAGTTTAAAAATTAAGTCATTTAAATGTTACTACAAACTAAATACATAGTATTTGCCCAATTTAATTTCCTAACATAACTGAAGTTTTCAAAGATACTCCTACTCAAGTACTTGACATAAGAAATGTCAGCTTGTACAAGTACAAATAACCGAAAGCATGACTTTCTAGTAGCAATACTCACAGCTGATGCATTCTACATTTCTAGCTGCATCTTGCACAAAAAAATTAAGTTGTTCACTACCCCAATCATCCCCAATCAAATGAATTATTAAAATCGTTTCTGAACTCCATTACAAAGAATACATCTAAAAAATTCAGGTAGTCTTAGGTACAACATTTTGATTTTTTTTAAATGCATTTCTTTAAGAATTGTTTTTATAGACGTTTAGTCCTTATTAGAAACTACAAAAGATAATTCTACAGCAATCCAGTCTTTCTTGTTCAAGGATGAGAAAGTGCATCACTTGGTATAACTTTAAAGCATAGAAAAATCAGATTACGAATAAGGCAGTGCACTTCTGATTTAACGGCAAATTTTAACCTATAGGAAAACAGCTATTAGAAATTATGCCCAAAATTCTAAAACTACTGAAATAACACTTCTTGCACATCTCTAGAGAAGACCTGTGTACAAAACAAGCCTTCTTACTCAGTGTGCAGGAAGTGTTATACAGGAAAAGGGCACACTTTGCTATTGGATTAAAAATTTCAGAGTTCCTTGTGCTTACTTTACAATTCAATAGAACTATTGTTTCCTTTGAGTGTGGTTTGGATAAAGTGCAACAGACAGATTCTCACAGGGAAAAACAAGGAGGCTGGACAAAATAAAAAGGATCATTTTGAAAAGGCATTTTTGTAGCCTCGCACACACAGCAGGATTTAATAATTTCAACAATGGCCCTGTCCTCTTCCCTGGGAATGGAATTGAACTGAAGACACAGGTTTACCTGATCTGACTGCACAGGATCAGCCAAAGAATTCATGAAAATTACTCCTCTCCTTTGTTAAACCTGGGAGGTATTACAGAATTTACAAACTCCTAATTACAAACTACACAAAATTGTGGCCACTAACAGTGAATTCCCATCATAGCATTTAGCCAGCTTTTTACCACTTTAAGTAAGAACAACAAAATTTAACACATATGTCCTGTTCACAATATATTCGCAACTCTACCCAGCTCTAGAAGTAACTGGACATGAAACATGGAACATATTAAACTGATTTTTTTTTTTGGGGGGGGGGGGCAGTATGATATTTGGTACATTTATTTTCATTCCTAAGAGGCTCTGGAGGCTCAGAACCTCCTTCTGCAAGGAGAGTATTGCAAGGGGTGCTGCATGCTGGAGGTGCTGGAACTCCTGGCCAGAGCAAACTGCTTTTTCCTGAGCCAGCAGATGGTGAAGAGGCCCTGCGTAAAACAAGATGTGACTGTCCCTTTTGGTGTCAGACACAACAGGAGCAGGTCACCTTCACCTCTGTACCTGTACCTCCTCAGCTGACACCATTTCCCCACCACACCAAGATGGGTGAACCTAGTCTCGCTCAACCTCCTCTGCTCCCCAGGCCTCCACTGTCATCACTGCAACTACTTCACCTTCTGTGACCTTGAATTTCAAGGTACAACTGCAATGAGCAGAATATCACGACCTGTGCCACGTGGAATCACAGAAAAGGCACATATCACTTACTTCACAGCGGTAATGCTATACACCTATGTTACCAACTACTACCAATGCAAAAGATCTGGAAGAGCTCAACTTTCTCGCAGAATGAAACAGCACCTGTAAGCCTCTGAAGAGATCCCACAGCATTTGTTTTACCGGTTACATGAACTTGAAGAGGATATTAAATGTTTGACCCTTGGTTCATTGTTTCATACAGTGAAACCATTAACCTTCCTCCGTCTTTGAATGCAGGGAAAACAGAGATACTGAGTTTTTAAGGACTAGTTTCTCAGTACGAAGATGCAACAGGAACAAAACACAACATATTTTAACATATTTTAGACACAATGGGTAGATGTGATTTCCCTACAACCACCTACAAGGCATTTTACCCACATTTGTTATTCCTGCACTCTATAATGACCCAAAGTATTTTCCTTGTTAGCTTTTCCATCTTCCCACTTAATTACAACTTAACAACACAAGTTCTCCCTTAAGTAGGATGTCAATAAAGGAGAAAAATTTCATGTAAATTCACAGAACCAAGACCAACAGAAGATTGAAAAGCAGTTATTACATTTGCATATTTTTTCCATCCTCATGATTTGATATCATCAAGTTGTTGTGTTGTGGGTTTTTTAAACTTCAATTCAGGCCATTTCGTCATCTCAAAAGACAAAACTGCATGTAGCTGATTTTTAGTAACCATGATAGTCGACTTACTTAGAAAAAACCATGAGCAGACTGCACAGATTAAGGATACTTAGCCCTATTTTGAAACATAGTTACAACCAAGTATACAGTACCCTGCCTGTGATAAACAATTTGACAGCCAAGTGCCCATTAAAGGGAACTAAATTAAGCTCATAGTTAGTTAGGAGCCTTTGGCTCCTAAAAGCCATCCTTAAAATAACCAATTTATTTATTTGTTTCAACTTCAATGGGAAAAGCAAAGAACTTCGCCATAAAATCAGAAGGTAATCTATCTGATCAGATACTCACTTCTTCACCAAAATCTGAATAGATTGAACGTTAGTTACTGGCAAAGGGCTTTTTACTTTTTAGTCCATAAGCCAGTGAAGAACAATAATCCTGAGCAAGACTGAAACCTTACTGAACATTGTACCTTTTCCCCCCTCCATCCAGCCCTGTCCCATCAATTTCCCCTCACTTTTGTTCTGCACACCCAAGACAGTGGTATTAGCTGCATAAAACAGGTGTTCACAACATAGAAATAATTCTAATTTCTCACAAGAAGTCATTTGGATCCAAATTATTTTGG